TAGGGGGGGAGGGGGGGTGAAAACCGGGACATTTCCAGTTTGGCACCAATATATCATTAAAATATCTGATGTTTTCACCTATGAAATAAAAAAGTAAGACAGTCCTGGTTTCATGTATTTTGACTATGGTAACTGTACTGTAATAAGATAAGGTGAAGGCCGACTGATAAAATGATGACTCCCCACCTTTGAAGCAGTCGTCCTATTGACTGTCTATTCCTCAATTATTTATAGTCCTTTAGTTTGTAAGAGTCCACAGATCAAAAGAATCAAAAGCATTTTTCATAAAAGGTTGTGAATATTTTCATGTGAAGAAACTCTTTCACTTCTTCCGACATAAAAACAAAAACTGTTTTTTCTTTTGTTCTGACTGGGGGGCTTTGGGTATGTTTGTTTTTGTTACTTTACTGCAGGGTAATGAACTCCTAACCGATGTGCGAGTCAGCTGACCTTTTCTCCTCCTAGAGACAAAAAAGAGAAAAATCTGATTGGATAAATCTATTTTGATGGTTATAGCATCACGTCTGAAGCTGCTCTGTTTTTATTCACAGTTGAAATCAGGGACATCTGGTCACCCTACTCTAAAGGTAATTGATTAACATGATATATCTTATTTAAAATTTGTTGCTCTCGACTTAAGTGTTGAGTTTCTTTTTAAAAACACAAATATATAGTTTCATCTTTAAAAAAAGTAATTTCTTTCTATCAAACAAACAGGAGGAAATGAGGAAGTGCATTTGTTGGGGACTATTTTCAGCAGCGGATTGATCCACATTCAGTGCTGTTGTGAGTGTTTGGAGCAGCTGTTTTTAATGAGAAGAAGAAAAATAGAGAACAGCAGTACACTACAGATCAGACTGTGTCAGCAGCAGGGGACCGTTTGGATCTGGAGGCTCAGACTAATATCTGGAGTGTCTGATAATAACAGCATCATGTTGTTTTATTAAAGATCAGATGTGATATGAGGGAGCGCTCAGCCTCACTGCAGCTCCTCTCTCACCTCACTGTCTCTTCACTGCAGCACAGAAACATGACGAAGCCAAATTACCTTTATTCACATGATGTTCATTTTTATATATGATTGAATATGTTCAGTTGTTCTCGTGTCGTGATGCTAATGTTTGACTGAAGCTCAGATCTCTTTTCTATGTTAATTCTGACTCTGCCGAGTTTGCCAGTAGATAATTCAACAGATGTAATTAAATACAGAAACATCTGTCTGACTGTGTAAGTAGGTCGATACAAACACGTTCAGGTAAAAACTCAAGAATAAAGTTCATCTGAAATATTAAGCTGTCTGCTAATCTGAAGGTCGGTGGTTCGATTCCCACCTCCTCCAGTCCACATACTGACGTATCATCACTGAACAGGTGAATGTAGTTTCACATCTCCTCTCTCAGGCTTCTCTCTGGAGCTCTAGTAACAACAGGTCGGTGAGCCAATCAGAAGAGAGGAGGCTCTGAGCCTCTCTTCTGATTGGCTGACTGTTTTCTGAGTGATCCAATAAAAATAAAGCAGATTTCAGGTAAAAACACTCAGAGAAACCAAATCCTGCAAGGTTTGGATGGTGGGTCCAGGTGGGCGGGGCTTGGTGACTGCTTTGTTGTGACATCACAAAGTTCCAGAAGTCCTGACGGCTGGTTTTAAGGCTCAGTTTCAATCAGTTCAATTAACTCTTTTTTCTCTTTACACGGAATTAAGACGAGTTGATGGCGCTGAATTCCTGCTTTTCTGTTTGTGTGTGTGTGTGTGTGTGTGTGTGTGTGTAGACATGCCGTGGCTCCGTCAGAGTCGAGGTTCCCCCAGACTCGTCCTGGTTGTGGTGTGTGTCGCTCTGCTGCTCGACAACATGCTGCTCACTGTGGTCGGTGAGTACACACACACACAGACACACAAACACTCCTGTATGGGGAGCCCCGTCCACCTCCTCTGGGATGCACCGGATCAGAGACTGTGAGTCACTGATGCTCTGGTGTCTGCAGGACAGACTGAGACCAGGAGGGCGGAGCCTGTCAGAGCAGCACGGTGAGCAACAGTCCGTCCTCTGACAGAGTCTCAGCTGCTGGAAACAGATCTGTGACGCAACTAAAAACCTTGAGGGCAAAGCCGTCGTCAGCTGTTAGACTCACAGCTAAAGTAAAGGCTGGAGAGGTCTCACACACACACAAATACACACACACACACACACACACACACACACACAAACACACACACACACACACACACACACCCACACACACACACACACACACACACACACACACACCACACGACCTCTTGACCCCGGCCTTTAAAGCCTGCTGTCTCAGGTCAGAGTTGTCTCCTTCAGTCTCTTCTCAGACAAACTCCTCTCTGCTCTTTTAGCTTCAGCTCAGGTTTGAAATGCTGTTACACACCTGTTCTGTTTTTACAGGTTTAAATAAATGTTTTTCATCTCTCAAGAAATCAAGAAATCAATCACTGAATCAATCAATCAATCCTGACTCATCAACCATCGACCTGTGGATGAACAGAGTGTTTAAAGTGTGGCTCTGTGTCCTGTGGACATGCATCATTTAACCCTAAACTAAAGCCTGTCTGACGTTTGATGGTCAAAAATGTTTCTGCAGTGAAAAGAAAATGAGACAGAAGATTATTATTTGTGTTATTCTTGGTCCACGACATGTTTCAGCTGGTACAGCCACTTTCCTTAAAACCCAACACTAGAATCACCCCCTCGTGGTTGTAGGCCTCCGCCAAAACACTTTGTGTTCCCAAGATTCACAAGGCCAAAACCAGCTTTTGTGATGTCATCGTGACCTTTGACCTTTGACCACCAAACTTTAAGCAGTTCATCCTTGAGTCCTAGTGAATGTTTGTGCCAAATTAGAAAGAGATCCATCAAGGCGTCACTGAGATATCGTGTCCACGAGAATGAGATGGACAACCTGAAAACAAAATGGCCGCCGCTCTGACTGTCGCNGTGATTATGTCGCCGGCGTGGAGGAGTAAAAATCTAGGAAATTGATTTCCTTGAAAAAACGTAGAAGCATTTCCTTTATTATATATTTTAATAGACATTAAAAACAGGAATTGTAAAAAGAATTTATAAATGAACGATTAATCATCAATAAATACTTTCCCTCTGCTTTTCCTATTAGCTAATCAATAGGCTCAGTCATTTAGCTTCATGTTAGCCTCTCTGTGACACTCGACCTTCAGTGCTGGTAAAACCACGCTAAACAATCCCAATTGGCCATGGGATGTGACAAGCTCTCTGATTGGTTGCCAGTCATATCAGGTTTTACCAGCACGGAGGATCCCGAGTGTCACAGAGAGGCTAACAGGAGAAGCTACATGACTGAGCTAATCAATTAGCTAAGAGGGAAATACAGCTGGAAAAAGGAAATGGAAACTGAACCCAGTTATTTATTCATTTGAGTGTCTATTAAAATATGAGATTATGGAAAATGCTTTATTACCTTCCTGTGACATCACTGCTCCTCCATGGTTCAGACATTTACATCCACTTTGTTAGAAAGTAAAGATCTGGAGACAGTCTCATCCAGTGAAGTGTAAATTAAAAAACATAAAAAGTTCTGTATAAAAGGGCAAAAGTTTATGGCGTGAATTAATTTTATTTTAACTAATCAATGAATCAATGAATCCATCTCCGCCTCCTCCCACAGTGCCCATCATCCCCACATTCCTCTACGCTATGGAGCATCCCAGTCCAGAGCCTCAGACTGCCCAGCCCTCCCTTCTCCCGCTGCCCAGCCACGGTGCATCCCGGCCGGGCACGTCCCCCTCCCAGTCCCCCTCCCCTGGGTCAGACCTCCAGCTCTCCCCGCTGCCTCGGCCCAGCCGTGGTGCTCCTCCCCCCTCCCTCCCTCCTCTGGTGTCTCTGTTTGACAACTCGACCTTCAGGACTGAGCCGACCTCCGACCCCGAGTCCACAGACCAGACCACAGACCTGCAGGTCAACGAGACCACGGACGCTGCGGTGGGTGGAGGACAAGCTTTATCTAACATCACCAATCAATAATCAATAATCATCAGTTTCATTACTGATCCAGATGACTGATATTATGTCTCCTCTCCCTCTTTTATTTCCTTGGGTCATTGCTTTGTCTCCTCCCTCCTCTCCTCTCCTCTATCCTCTCCTCTCCTCTCCTCTCTCCTCCCTCCTCTCCTCTCCTCTCTCCTCTCCTCTCCTCTCTCCTCTCCTCCCTCCTCTCCTCTCTCCTCTCTCCTCTCCTCTCTCTTC